GATCTCCAATGCTGTAATAAAATAAACTTTTTTTTTTTTTTGTACTGGGGATTGAACTTGGGACCTTTTGCTTGCGAGGCAGGCAGTGGAACCACTGAGCTAAATCCCTGGCCCAAAATAAACATTTTTAAAGGAAAAAAAAAGACCGCAAAAGGACCATGAGTTCAGAATTTTTTGTTAATGCTGTAGTAAGTGACATGGCCTTTGAAGCCAAGTGGCTGCCCCTATTCTTATTTGTGACCTTGGCTGGACATGCTAAACTATGTATATATGGTTGTTATGAAGAGGATTTCAGAACTTCAAGAGGTGATAATTTATTCTACTTCCCTAGATTTAAGTTGTATACGTTTCCTCATTCTCCTGCCTATTAATAGAAGGCACAGCTGCCAATCTGATTTACAAGTTTGTATTACATGTAATGCCTTTTCCCAAACATGGGGTGTTGGATTTGGTGGACACCTCAACAATGTCATTTTATTTTATTTCTGCAGTACTGAAAATTGAACCTTGGGAGTGCTTAGCTACATTCTCAATCTTTTTTAAATTTTGAGACAAGTTCTTAGCTAAGTGGCCCAAGTTGGGCTCAAATTTTCTTTCCCCTGCCTTAGCCTCCTGAGTAGCTGGGATTACAGATGTGCAGCATCACACTTGTCTATTCTTTCATATTCTTAAAACTCTTTAAGGCTCAAAAGATATTCAATGAAATGAGGAACTTGGCTGGTGCACTTCTGTAATCCCAGTACTCAGGAGGTTGAGATAGGAGGATACCAAGTTCAAGTCCAGCCTAGGCATCTTAGTGACAGCCTGTCTCAAAATGGAAAAAGGGGGCCGAGATGTAGGTCAGTGGAAGACCACACATGCTCCAATCCCCAATACCAAAATATGTGTGTGTGTGTGTGTGTGTACATTTGTGTATACATGTATGTGTAAGCACACACTTATATATTCCATATACCTTTATACAAAACCAAGTCTTGTTCTCTGGCTTTGGGTAAGGACCCTTTCAGTCAGGGACTCCCTGAGGGCCCAGCTTATCTTGCTGCTGAGTCTGGGCACCCTAAGGGGAGACCCTGTGCCTCCTGTCTCACTTTTACCCTCTCCCGCAGGATGCACTGGCCCCGTGTGCCAGGCCCTGTTTTATTCTACTCCTAGGGGCTGGTAGTTCTGTGGTCCCAGTCTGTCTGCTGAAGTCAGGAGGGCTTCTTTCCATCTAGGTTAGCACTGAGACTTGGCCTAGAAAGTGTGTGCTGTCCTGTGCACAAAGCAAGTATTTCCAGGTACCCAAGCATGGCATACAGAGCCTGAGAGTTGGCACAGTAGCCCTGAAGCACACAATAAGTTCTGACCACACACGCACGCACGCACACACGCACACACTCATGTACGCATGCACGCAAGCATGCACGCACAGCCAAAAGGTGGAAACAATGGCTGGACTTGGATTTCAGCTCTTGGGCAGCTGCCTCCAACCCCTGCTGTGAGGTAGGGTGGGGGTGGAGAGCAGGAAGCTATGGAAGGAGAGAACATTTGTCCCAGGACCCAAGGGCACAAGTGCTGGCAGGATGCCCCAGGGAGGGGAGCAGTCGCCCTCCCCACAGCAACTCAGCTCCCACCACAGGCCCTGCCTGGGCTGGTCAGAGTGGCAGGGGGAAGCAGCGACAGGATCCTTGCCCAGTGCAGACAAGGGCTGGGTCTGTGTGTTGTGACCGATGTTAACTCTGACTGTGTTGAGGGTGTCATAGGCTGTGTGCGCCCCATTAGATCGCAAGATGTCAGAGGTCAGGCCCAGCAATTTGTTTTTCACTTGTATTAGTTTATTCACGCATTAAACTCTTTTTCTTAGGACATGTTTGCAGTATGTAATGATTACAGTCACTGTGGGGTTGTCCTCCGTTTACCAACAGGGGCCGTAAGGCCTCCGCAGTGGGGTGGCTCCTGACGGTCACCTGGCACAGATGACACAGCCGGATCTGAGTAAGGGCAGGGCCTGGCAAAGTCAGGGGATGTGAATAAGGGTGGAGGTAGTGGGACAGAATGGACCCAGGGCATTGGGAAATGGAGGACCAGAGAAATTAAGGAATAAGGGGCAGAGATGATAGAGAAGTCCAAGATGGCCTTAAGATTT